TAAGGAAGAAAGGAAAAGAGAACCAGGAGGAGAGGAGGAGAGGGAGGGAAGAGGAGAAGAGAGGAAGAGAAGAGGAGAGGGAGAAGGAAGGAAGGAAGAGGGAGGAGAGGGAGAAGGAGAGGAGAGAGAGAGAGGAAGAGGAGAGGAAAAAAGAAGAGATATTCCAGAGCTTGTGAAATGCGTTCAGTGTGAACTTTCTTGATGACTTAGAATTGTAGATTCTTTTAAAGAATTTTATGAATATAGGGATAGTCAGGTGAATGCCCTTGCTCCTTATATTAGGCAGATAAAAGTTTCTAAAGAGAAAACAACAAGCCTTCCAGTTCAACTTCAATATACAATTTTATATCCTCTGTAATATACCTAGAGCATTATACAACGCAAAAATCAAAATGAAAATTAGCCTCTGCCTCCAAGGAGCCTTTAGAGTTCAGAAAAAGAGACAGGCAAAAAAAAATCATGATTTCCAATATACTTATGGTAACTCACAATGGGGTATGTAACAACCACGAAGCTATGGTAAAAGCCTAAAGGAGAATGGTGGGAAGACATAAGAGACTCCATTTTGTTCTGTATTTGAGATGCTGTTAATCTGTGACCCTACCCCCAACCTTGTCCTTGCAAGAGACATGTGCTGTGGTAACTCAAGGTTTAATGGATTTTGGGCGTGCAGGGTGTGTCTTTGTTCCTAGAAAAGCTAGGTATTTGTCCAAGGTTTATCCCCATGTGATAGGATGAAACAATGCTGCTAAAAGGTTTATCTCAAGGCACAGGATTTTCCTTTAAACTTATTCATGTCACAGAGATCCTTGTTCTTATGTCTTACGGCTGATTTCCTCCCTAAAAATGATCCTATTGTCCTGCCACTCCCTTATCTTTAAGATGGTAAAGATAATTATCTATAAATACTAAGGGAACTCAGAGGCCGGTGCCAGCGTGGGTCCTCTGTAAGCTGAGCGCCGGTCCTCTGTAAGCTGAGCGCCGGTCCCCTGGGCCCCCGCTTTTCTTTCTCTATACTTTGTCTCTGTGTCTTATTTCTTTTCTCAAGTCTCTCGTTCCACCTAACGAGAAACACCCGCAGGTGTGGAGGGGCAGGCCACCCCTTCAGAGGGGCTGGTGGGAGACTATGTCTATGACTCATAAATTTGAAAGTTGAGTGATTCATTTTATTTATTTATTTATTTATTTATTTATTTATTTATTTATTTATTTATTTATTTTTGAGACACAGTCTCACTCTGTTACCCAGGCTGGAGTGCAGTGGCACAATCTCAGATCACTGCAACCTCTGCCTCCTGGGTTTAAGTGATTCTCAAGCAGCTAGGACTACAGGTGTCCACAACCATGCCCAGCTAATTTTTGTATTTTTGGTAGAGACAAGGTTTTGCCATGTTGGCCAGGCTGGTCTTGAACTCCTGGCATCAAGTGATCTGTCCCCCTCGGCCTCCCAAAGTGCTAGGATTACAGGTGTGAGCCACTACCCTGGCCAAATGGGTGATTTAGACAAGTAAAAGAGGGGCTTAGGTGGGAAAAGATTCCAACAAGGAGTAATAGTATGAACAGTCACAGACTGTACAGGAAACCATAGAACCTACTGTGGCACTAGTGAGTATATTTGTCCAAATATTATCAAAGATCTAATAGGTATTTTTTGATCAGATATGCATTTTTTTTAATACTAGAGTTTTGCTTTATTTTACATATTAGGAAAATAATCTACGAACCTTCTAGTATCTTCTGAATTCCTGTAAGCTCCATGTGAACAGAGATCAAATTTATCTTATTCTCTCCTGCATTTTAGCACTCAGTACAATGTCTGGCACTTTGTATGGATTCAACATCTAGTTGTTAAGCAAATTACTAAATTATTGAGCTTGTTGGTCTTTGCCAAAGTCCAATATAAATTTAGCCTTCAAATTATTCTTTAAATTTACTTTTAAAGACTCACATTCTTGAACAACTTGCTTTTCTCAAATTGTCTTCAATAAAGGATAGCTTGATATTACCTTTTATAATTCTTCCTATTTGGGGATTTTTTTTAAAATGCAAGTTTTGGTGTTGCTTTTCTCCCTATACATCCATCTATTCACTATTTATTCAGCATACGCTTATTAAATACTTGATTATGTGCTGGCATTGTGCTACACACCACGAGTAGAATACTGACAAGTTAGACATGGACTAGGCTCCACTGGAGCTTATAGCCCAGGAAGAAAAACAGGCAGATATTCAACAAATAATTTATAAGCACATTGTTGTTGCAAAATAGAAGTGAATAGTTCTATGAGAGTTTGTAATAATTTCTTTTAGCCTTTATTCAGTATGAATTATTATCTGATGATTATATAACATGTTTACTTTAGCAAGTTCTTAGCTTACATTCTCCACTTTCTGCTTTAGTATACAACATTTATAGCTAATGTGTGGCACAAAGTAAGTACACTATAAATATTACTTGAGTGAAATAATAATTACTTTCTCATACAATTTTCATTTTATCCTGTATTATTTTGATCCTATTGAGTACAAACACCTGCACTCTTTGTGGTAAGACAAATATAAGAATTATTCTCTTAATAATATATCTGTCAACTGGATGAAATAATGGGAATAGTGTAGGTGATGTGTGTTGTCTAAAATTAGGTGTGCAGCACTTCATTAGAGCCTTTATCTATAGTATATTGGCCTAATTTCTGTGTAAAGTGAGGTTGTTAACCACATCCATTTGGTTATATGATTTTAATCAATAGGTATTCATTAAAAATCCATGTAAATTTTGTAGTGTATGGTGAGGGGCATTCAAAGAAGAATAAAACAAGGTTTCTGCCCTACAGAAATTCAATCTAAATGTCTGTGGCAAAAGAAGAGAAATCCTTTTTGCCTATTAGGGAGGAAAGTAAGCCCTGTAAGAAAAGGCATTCTACAAGAAGTGATGGTTAATCTATAATAGTTCTTGAAGAATGAATAAGACTTTGCCAAGTAGATGGTAAAGGGAAAGGCATGCTAGAGAGAACACTTCAGTTTTTCATGCTAGGGAGCATGTGCAAGTGCAAGGAAGCCTGACTCCCCTTTTTAGCCTCTTATAAGCTATTTTTTTGTTTTAATACTTTAACTTCTGGGATATGTGTGCAGAGCATGCAGGTTTGTTACATAGGTATATGTGTGCCATGGTGGTTTGCTGCACCCATCAACCTGTTATCTACATTAGCTATTTAGGTATTTCTCCTAATGCTATCCTTCCCCTAGCTTCCCATCCCCCGACAGGCCTCAGTGTGTGATGTTCCCCTCCCTGTGTCCATGTGTTCTCATTGTTCAACTCCCACTTATGAGTGAGAACATGTGGTGTTTGGTTTTCTGTTCCTGTGTCAGTTTGCTGAGCAGAAATACCATCTGACCCAGCAATCCCATTACTGAGTATATACCCAAAGGATTATAAATCATTTTATTATAAAGACACATGTACACGTATGTCTATTGCAGCACTATTCACAATAGCAAAGACTTGGAACCAATCCAAATGCCCATCAATGATAGACTGGATAAAGAAAATGTGGCGCATATACACCATGGAATACTATGCAGCCATAAAAAAGGATGAGTTCGTGTTTTTTGCCGGGACATGGATGAAGCTGGAAACCATCAACTATTTTTTATTTACATTGTTGTTCACTATCGCTTCACAAGTTCTTGCTTTGTTATGCTAATTCTGTTAGATCAAGATTTACAAAATGTTTATCTTTAGCATGCCTTCAATTTAATTTCCTTCGGAAAGTGGACAAATTAGAAGTACATTCTGTCCCAACAATGAGCAATTCCAACATTCATATAAGTTAGAGGTGGCTGGGTGTGGTGGCTCACACCTGTAATCTCAGCATTTTAGGAGGCCAAGGCGGATGGATTACTTGAGTCCAGGAGTTCAAGACCAGCCTGGGCAAAATGGCAAAACCCCATCTCCAAAAAAAAAAAAAAAAAAAAACTAAAAAAACTTAGAGGCATCAGAATCTTTATGGTAACTACCACCTATCAAGCAGTTGGCCTGAAAAGAGTGGCCTCTTTGGTAGTTGTGGGTGGTGGCTAGACTTTATAGCTTCACTGCACCTGAATGCTGATCATTTCCTTCCTATTCACCATCTAAGAAAATGTTCTCCCAACCACACACATGGCTATTGTTTGTAGCACAGGATTATAAATTCTCTAGCCCCAATGGCTAGTCACAGGTAAGTGGAAAAACGACCCAGGGAAAAACAACCCAAAGCTCACTTGAGCCAATTAGATTCTCTTTCACAAGAATTTGAACTAAAAGCCATAGAGTTTGACTTGGTAATCAGTGGTGGGCTGGAGCTGTACATCTGGTCAAGTCTGAACCAAATTGTTTCACAGCAGGGCAGGGGCTCACGTTAAGCTGAAGTTTACCCAGGAAGTGAAATGAGAGAGCCTGGTAAAAGAAGTCTGGCTACATGAAGCAGAATGAAATTCAAGTACAGAGGGATGCAGAAAAGAAATCATGTTTCCTGAAAGAAAAAGCAGAGAAAGTAGCTTGTCTGAAGATTTTTTTCAACATTTATGAGGCCTAGTGGCAGCATTTACAGTTGGATTATGTAAGATTTCCATGTATCCTTCAAATAAATTCCCTTTTCATCTTGTCTATTGGAATGTCTTTCTCAGCACCCCAGGCAAATGGTTTTGGAATGAGAAGCTGCTTAGCTATTTCAGGGAATCCTATACTCTTTGGTAGAGCGGCCACGCCCTTGACCTAACAGGTCTTAACTAGGTATTCCCACAGCTGCCTGTACTTCTTCTACTTGTGCCCACAGTTATACCTCTCAGACTGTTGATATTTTTTGTAATGCACTGAGTTTTCCTCTGCCAATTAGCAGGCCCAGTGTTTAGATATCTTATTCAGGATGACCTACCACCAAGTGTTCAAATAATAACCTCTTAACTTCAGTTGGCAAAACATTCTGCGTAGTATAGATTTAGAAGGCATTGCTGCAACATTTGTAAGAATAGACATGTTGGCCAAAATCATCGTGCTGACACAAGGAAAGCAAAAAACCAGGTTTATCATGGATGTCATCATTGTGGGCCATGTTAGCAGCGTGTTCCATCCAACTCACAACAGCTAGGCAGGGTTAGGCCCTGCGGAGGATTAGGCAAGCTTGACTTGCAACAGAAAGCAAGCGGGATAGTCTGGGGATGGCAGTAGAGAAAGAAGAGGAGGCTCAAAGCTAAATGGAATCTGATATCAACAACATTAAGGCAATCAAGAAGAATAATCCAGCAGACCATAAATCAGTGCACGCTTGGAGGGAGCCATTATTTCAATCAAGGAGTGTCTGCTGAAAGAGGCCTATAATTTCATAGCAGCTCAGAGTTGCTGGACAACATTCCTCCTTCTGGCTCCTAAAGAACCTCTTATAGTCAAGGAGGTCTAGGACTAGTTAGGAGACTTCAGAGCTATTGTCCAATAAGGATGAATGCATTGTCTTCTAATTCCTATAGGGGCTCCAGTGGGTCAGAACTCAATGGAGCCAGTCTGGTACCTTGAAGAGGATTTCATTTCACTGAATGTCAAGGTCAATCTCCATTACATTACTCTGGTTTAATTTCTTCATGATACTTACCATCATCTGAAAATTGTATTTATTTGCTTATTGTCTGTCTCCCACCCCTTCCAGTAAAATGTAAATAAATTCCTTTAGAGCAGAGACTTTAATCTGGTTTTTCTCCCCCAGTGCTGTGTTCTCAGCATCTCGAACAATGTCTGGCTTTTCGTATGTTCTCAGTAAATATTTATTGAATAAATAAACAAAAGGCCATGAACTTGGTGATACAGTCATGGACTTTGAACAGTGTAAGAGTCCTGGAGATCCAGACAGTCCTTGATTAGAATGTCAACATTTTAAACATATCTGGAAAACAACTGTCCCTGACTTCCCACCCAGTCCCCACCCAAATTCTGCCCTCAATTCTGATATTGCAAATTTTCCAAGAATGAAGAATAACCGTTCTTTTGGTAAGAAGAATATGCTATCTGCTTGCTTGTGTTGAACAAGCCTCAGCGACAAACACTTTCTCTCTCCAGCCGGCTGCCGAGATGACTCTCCAACTTCCTCACCCCACCCCCCATCCCATTTTGTCTCTTTCTTCTTGATAAACAAACTCCTCAGTTCTCACAGATAATAAAACATGTCTCCATCGGGGAAGTGTAAGTGAGCATATTTTCAGGAAACAGCTGAGATTTCTCATGTACTTTGCTTTTTTGAAAAGCAGCCACTTGGCTCAATATGTATACAGCACTTGTTTACTAATTAACAAACAGCCTCCCGCTGAGTCAGTCTTCCTTCCTCTCCCAATTTCCTTTTCCATTCTTAGAAAATTGTTTGAGTGAATAAAAACTTGGTCCAGGCCAGGCGTGGTGGCTCAAGACTCTAATCCCAACGTTGTGGGAGGCCGAGGTGGCTGGATCGCTTGAGCCCAGGAGTTCCAGACCAGCCAGGGCAGCATGATGTAACCCCGTCTCTACAAAAAATTAGCCAGGCATGGTGGTCTGTAGTCCCAGCTACCCTGCCCCGAAGGCTGAGGTGGGAGGAACACTCTAGCCTGGAGGTCCAAATTGCAGTGAGTTGTGATTGCACCACTGCACTCCAGCCTGCACGACAGAGTGAGACCCTGTCTCTAAAAAGGAAAACAGGGAAAAACGAAACAGAACAACAACTTGGCCCAATGTTTCTCAACATGTTGTGTGACTGCGTTTATTACCATGGACACCACCATCCTTTAAATACATGTCTCTTTAGGTGGCATAATCAAAGTGAAAATAATATTCTATTAACAAAAGTAACTTTTGAAGACACTAAGAGGATGTATACTATATATGATGACTATGCACACAATCTCTGTCTTTAAAAGCAAGAAGAGTAAATTTTATTAAGTTGCAAGAAAAAACAATCAGCTTTAAAATCCAGTAATAATATTTGCATTAATGGTTAATAATCATCAGTAGATAAACAGATATTTATTGACCACCTATTATAGACAGTGTCCTGTGATCGTTAATCTGTATGATACAAAGAAACATAAATGTGTCCCCAGATTTGTTAGATCTATTTGATAGGATAGGCTATATGTTTCTTACCAAAAAAAAAAAAGGTGGTGGAGTTTATAGAAATGAATGATGACTTCTATCAAAAGTGGTCACTAAAGGTTTCAGAGAGAAGATAGCATTTAAGATAGGCTTTGGAGATTAGGTAACAGGAAATTATAGTAAGAGCTACTTCTTGTAAATCCTGGGAAACGTGTGAAAAGATACAGCCGATTTGAGTTTTATCTATGCCCAAAACTTGGAAAGATTAGAGCTTGAGTTGGGAAGATATTTTGCAATTTAACATCCTTTAAAAATTGTTGTATCATAAAAATTACATATTTTCCCTCTGGAGATGTAATATATTTCAGTGATGTTACAGTTACTATTGCTGTGTAATAAATTGCACCAACATTTAGTAGCTTACAACACTGCTCCTTATGGCCATGGATTCTGTGGGTAAGAAACAAAAACAGGGCTCAGGGGAATGACTTGTCTCTGCTTCCCAGTATCTGGAACTTCAACCAAGGAGACTTGAAAGCTGAGGGTGACCTGATGGCTGGAGGCTGGAATCACCAGGAGACAAATTGATGCTGGCTTTTTGCTGGGACCTTAATCCCTCCAGAATCATTGACCAGAGCATTTACACACAGCTTCTCCACGTGGCTTGGGCTTCCTCATGTTATGACAGCCTCAGGTAGTTAGGCCTCTTCCACAGAAGCTCGCAGGACCCCAAGGATAAGCATCCCAGCAACTAAAGCAGAAGCTATCCTGCCTTTTCCCTCCTAGCCTCAAAAGTCAAGCTGCGTCACTTCTACAGTGTTCTTTACTTATAAAAGATTCACAAGTCCTACAGCCAGGCCCCTCCTCAAAACACTTTACTGTCCTCACCTTAATTCAGGTGAACTTTGTCCTTCATAGTGATCACGTCTTAGGCACTTACTAGTTTTTATTTTACATAAGCTGTATTTTACATTTTTAACAAGCTCTCCTGGTGTCTTCCTTTTTCCTTGGTTTCTGTATCATTCTATTTTGGTTTTCTTCATGTTACTCTCTATTGTCTCCTGTTTCGTCTCCTTTATGATCATATTCCCTTCTTTTTTCAGACCACCACTTCTGGGTAGATGTTCCCTGGGGCTTCATTTTTTTTTTGAAGACAGGGTCTTGCTCCATCACCCAGGTTGTAGTGCAATGGTGCAGTCACAGTTCACTGCAGCCTCAACTGGCTCAAGTGATCTTCCCACCTTATCTCAGTCTCCCAAGTAGTCGAGACCACAGGCACACACTACACCTGGATAATTTTTTATTATTATTATTGTTTATAGAGACGAGGTCCCCCTATGTTGCCCAGGCTGGTCTTGAACTCCTGGGCTCAAGTGATCTTCCTGCCTTGGCCTCCTTGGGGCTCCATTTTAAATTCTCTTCACCTTATAAACTCTTCAGAGCTTTAATTCTTTCCTTCCTATAACCCCTTTCCTGATAAATTGGTTCCATATATTTATTTCCACAACCACCTTCATTACTGGTGGTCTCCACTTATAAACTGTATATGAACCCTGTGTGCTCCTGGGTTTCAGATTCATATTTCCAAAAGCCAATTTGATATCTGCGTAAGTCCTCCAGGAACCTCTACCTTCGTATATCCAAATCTGAACTCACTAGTCTATGCCTATGCCTGAAGTTGGCCGATCATCTTCAATTCCCTGTCTTGAGGATCCATCCACATGCCCCTGTTAGAAACCTAAAATTCAATATTAATTCTCTCCTTTCCTTGTCTGCATATACTGCATCTACTAATATACTAATCCTGTTTTGTTTTTTTTTTTTTTCTATCTTCCTACATATTTCTGGAATCTATCATTTCCGTTTTTTTCTGGAGACAGTGTCTCACCATGTTGCCCAGGCTGGCCTTAAACTCCTGGGCTCAAATGATCCTCTCGCCTCAGCCTCCTGAGTAGCTGGGGCTACAAGTGTGTGCTACTGCACCTAGGTGAAATCTGTCATTTGCTTTTTATGTCTACTGCCTAAGTTCAGACTCTTAGTATTTATCCACAGAACTACTCAATAGCCTTCCAACTGCTCTCCTTTCTTATTTACCTTCCCCACATATCCTACACCTATCTTCCAGGGTCCGCTTTCTATATGCAAATCTGATCATGTTCCCTCCACAGTATAAAACTTCTAAATGCCTCTCCTTTGTAAAGTGGGGTTAAATGCTTGTTGTAGTGAAGATCAATCAAATAATCACAAAAGATTTTCAAACTCAAAAGTGCCATGCAAATGTAATCTGTTCATGAATGTATTCATAGTGGTGATAATAGGAAGAGGGTGAGGACGTTCAATAACACGATTACATCCTAGATCTTGTTGCAATAGATTGAGTACAAAATGACCAGTTTTCCCATCCTTCTCTGTATTCATACCCTTTATTTATTTGGTCAAGACAGTCAGTTTTTCTAGTTTTTGAGTCTGGTCTGGATTATGATTTTCTTTGGCCAATGGAATAGTGTAGAAGCAACAATATGTAAATTCTAAGTCTGGGCCTCAAGAGAGCCAGATCATGCATCCACTCTCTCTCTCTCTCAAAACTCTGCCACCACCCCAGAACAAGTATAGACTAGCCTGCTGGAGGATGAGAGACCATATGTGGTCTTCCCAGCTGAGGCCATCCTGAACCAGTTAGCCACAAGCACATCTGTAGCTGCCCACAGAAAACATGAATGAGCCCAGCTGTGATTGACCAATTCCAGACCAGGTCAACAGAACTACCAAACTACCCAGAGATATGAGAAATAAAAAAAGATTATTGTTTTAAGCATTAAGTTTTGGTGTGGTTTGTTATTAAGCATTAGGTGGTAGCAGACAACTTTCTGTCCCTGCAGTGCTTGACAACACCATAAATGTAACCTTATCCAAAATCTTGATTTCAAACATCTGACTCTCCAACCACCACCTTCCATCTTTCCATTTGCTTACCTTAGTACGTCCCCGATGCAATTCTTCCAGTATTTTGAGGCCTCCAAACTATAGATTCTACCATTTTGTTGGTATCCATCTATTCCTTTCTATATTCACCTAGGAAGGTGCTTAGATTTCATGGTCCATCATTAAATTTTCTCCCTAGTAAAATCTTCTCCACCCTATTCTCTACTACTTATAATTGCCTGGCAAAACCTCAGCCCAAGCTGAACCCAACTATTTGTCTTCTCTGCCTCTAGCTGAATAGCAGAATATTGCAAGAGAAAATCACCCAACTGTACTGACTAACTTCACCTCAATTCACGACTATTCATGTCAGGTGAGTACTTAACACCAGAAATCCTACTACACGTCTCTAGTAATATTACTCTTCTCTTCTTACAGATGACTATTTCATACCTACTCTGCCAATTTGTTCTCTCTCGTTTTCTTTTTTGTTGTTGTTTTTGAGACAGAGTCTTACTTTGTCACCCAGGCTGGAGTGCAGTGGTGCAATATTGGTTCACTACAACCTCCTGGGTTCAAGCAATTCTCATGCCTCAGCCTCCCGAGTAGCAGGGATTACAGGTACATGCCACCATGCCTGGCTAATTTTTGTATTTTTTGTTAGAGATGGGTTTTCACCATGTTGGCCAGGCTGGTCTTGAACTCCTGACCTCAAGTGATCTGCCCACTTCAGCCTCCCAAAGTGCTGGGATTACAGGCATGAGCCAGTGTGCCCTACCCAATTTGTTCTCAATTAACTACCTTCCTCACACTTCCTCAAGAAAATAGAAGTTATTAATGTAAAGCATTCTCATTTTGCTTTATAATTTAATTCTACAATCCTTTTGTATTTTCTTCTTCCCTCTTGTCATAATGGACAAAAGTATCTC